GTGCTACATGTAGCTGGCCAGGTAGTATGCCGCAGTACCCATATACGATCCGTACCGTATACAATGCACCATCATCGTACGTACGGTGTTGATAGACCATAGTACGGCAGTTGGCCACGTCATTTGATTAAATTATGTGTGATATTATGCTGTAGATACGAGATCGGTGGCAGCCCTCGAAACTATTATTATAGCTACTAGTGTACGCTATTGGCCCTAGCGTGGTGTGATCGAATATTTTAATAATGTTTTGCCTCATTGAACGTTCAATTTTGTGACGTGCTCCTAAATTCTAAATATCACGGCTCTTGCAGTACAGCTGACAGGACTAGCATTGGGAGCGTTGGGAGACAGTACTAGACAAGATTGGCACAAAGTACAAGAATGGTAACAAGCCCAATATCAGCTTTAGCAAGTGGGAGCTCAACTGCAGTTCCCGTGGACGTGGAAAGTGGCGTAGCGGATTCGGAGCGGCAGGCCCTGCTCGTCGCCGTCCAGACGAAGTCTGGGCAGGCGGCGGCGTGCAATCGTCTGGTGCTGTTGGCCTACTTCATCATCTTCCTACTGGCCGTTCTCTTGATCTACGCGCTGGCCACGGGCCGGTTTGGCAAGATCTAGCTGGATAGTGACTTCGGTACGCATCAAGCACCTGATCTCGCTCAGTGCGGACATTGTATGGAATACGGGCGTATTGTTCCATACTGTACTGAAGCAGGTTTGGATACAAAGCAGTTCGTTAGGCAATTTTGCTCTCCCACTCACCCACCCACAGTCCACCCCAATCCGTTGTCAATCTTTCATGTACTGTTGCTGTGCACAGAACCTCCGCACATGCGTTGACATGCCCTTTTCGTTCCCAGTTGTCCCATTCGTTAATTCTCCTCAGTCCCTGCTCACTTTGCACTCTCATGTTCTCATGATAACTGCACCAAAATGAGACCCCATCTATAGGCCTAAAAGGCCTCTGAGAAATCCTTCAAATAAGTTCTACATTATTAGTCTCCTTACACCTGATGTCTGGTACTGATCTTGCAAGTACAAGCATAAAATCACCGCTTGACCTTATTTGCGCTTAAATTCTCTGATTCCACTAGCACCTTACCACACTATAATTAACAAGAACATTCATTGAGTTTTTGTAATCATTACTGTCTGATGATCGCCACAGGCGTGAAACTCTGAGTCACAGCCAACCCAAGGTCCGTATCCCATTCTATTCTTTTTGTATTAGTCTCCTACTCTTGCTTGTTACCGCGCCACCTTCCTGTGCTGAGGTAAGGTCAAGCTGAGAAATCACAATTATTATAATAATTATATTAATATTTGAAACTCGGATGTTGAGCCATAAATAAATGTGGAAGAGAAAAGGACATATGGATACGAGTTAAGAGTAACTCTCCATCACTGTAACATGATCCTATATACAGTCAGAAAGTGCAATAACTAGGCACAAAACTGACAGAGTACTGAAACATTCGACGTCCTGACACCTAGCTTCAACACATCTCCGTAGCGCTAACCGACAGCCTTCCAACTTGGAAGGTTCAAGGTTATGGAAAAGACCAAAGAGGGGAAGGCAAGCGCAACGAAAACGAGCAAAAGCTACAGTCCCAACGGAACAAAGAATGTCGATTGTTACTGGACGATGACGAGACCAGTACGATATTTGACAAAGCGGTCTAACTACAATTCGTGTGAAACAACTTGTTTTGTAGTCAACTAGTCCATCACATTGTCATGCATGAGGAGTACTGTAGGAGTTTGGCTTTCGGCTTGTACAATTCGTTTTCGCAAAGCTTCCCTTTCTTTACTTATCTTTGATATTTATGACCCACCCAAGTTGGGTGGTGTGCTGCTTTGCTGCTTCGAATTGTAGTTAGACCGCTTTGTCAAATATCGTACTGGTCTCGTCATCGTCCAGTAACAATCGACATTCTTTGTTCCGTTGGGACTGTAGCTTTTGCTCGTTTTCGTTGCGCTTGCCTTCCCCTCTTTGGTCTTTTCCATAACCTTGAACCTTCCAAGTTGGAAGGCTGTCGGTTAGCGCTACGGAGATGTGTTGAAGCTAGGTGTCAGGACGTCGAATGTTTCAGTACTCTGTCAGTTTTGTGCCTAGTTATTGCACTTTCTGACTGTATATAGGATCATGTTACAGTGATGGAGAGTTACTCTTAACTCGTATCCATATGTCCTTTTCTCTTCCACATATATTAATATTATTATAGTTTTTTTCCTTGCGAGGAAATTATTGTACGTGCATACCAGATATCACTACTGTAAAACGACAAACTTTCGCGAGCGATTAACTTTCGCGACTTTCGCGAGCAGGGTCGGATCGCGAAAGTTTGACACGCGAAATAATTATTATTTGTACGATCGATCGTTTTGCAACAGATCTGTACAGTACTCGTACATGCGCATGCATCACTCACTGCACTGACTGTAGTGTAGATCTACATTCACAGCGCTGATCGATGCTTGTACGGCCGGCTATGTCCAACCAAAGAGCGCAGCTGTTGCAACGACGGGTTACCAGGTTACGTACCAACACCAGTCTTGCAAGTAACCGTTGAAACATTAGTTGTCGTTGGAGTACGGCGACTTGAACCAGAAGAGAATAAAACGATCGACTGGAGAATGTCTCAGTGTTGTGGAGAGTGTTGTTGAACTTCTTGGAGCATTTGGCCAGCTTGCTGTTGCGTAGATTTTAGTGTTGTACTGCTCGAAGAAGTCTTCTGAATTGTATCGCGATGAGTATCGCAGTGGCTCCGCAGTTCGAAGAGAAAGTCTTCCGATGATCCCTCTTCGAACGTGCCATCCTTTCTCCCAGTACTAGTACTTACCTTATGGTTCTCTTTGATGCCTTGACTCCTTCTTACATTCCTTGATTCCTTCTTTCATTCTTTGATTTATTCTCTCATTCTGCATGCACTCTGCGCTCAGCACTCCGAGGCTTCGTAAAATTCTTTGATTTTCGGTGGAAGGTAAAAATCGCTAAAATTAATCGCCGCTAACTGGTCCAGTTTGCCAAAACGCTAAATTTAGCCGCCGCGAAAGTTTGTCGTTTTACAGTACGCTCCTGATCGTTACTACGATTCGTAAGTGCCAAAGTTAACGGTAGACAATAGCAATTACAACGTGAACTGATTTTGCGGCTAAACATAAAGCTGCAGCTGATGGGAACATGCCTCTGCCCAACTTACCTTTACAGATAATTAGGGTGCATTCATTACTACTTCGAAGGATCCGTCAATTTTAGTTCTTTCTAATCTATTCATAACAATCATGATCTCACACTTCATAAATTATACGTTATACAAAACTAATCTCCTTGCTTTGTTTTAGAACACCTTATCGCTTCATAGTACCAGGCAGGCACAGTGGGTTGGTCAAAGACCATGATTGAGATACGAGAGGTACCTGGTTCAAGTCCTGCCTGGGAGCGGTTTTTCCAGCCGTGCTGCTACCCACAGTCAACTGGGAACTTGTGGCCAGGCACAAGGGGTACATGGATGCAGCTAATGGGGTCGTTTTCGGCACTTGTGCCAGTGGTTTTGAGACTTACCCACTCACCCCCACCGTTAGGCGCTGCATCTGCCGCTAGGGTTTATCGGGTGTTAGCGGCCGTCGTGAGTTCCCTTCGGGAACGGATACGATAATTTTTAATTTTATCGCTTCCTTTAAGTTTGGGGGCATGCATTCATACAATGTGTACATTTCATCTAGAATTGGAAGTTGGGTGGACAGGACCCGCAACGCACTAATCACAGGCTGTGGGGGGACATAGCACAGCGTTTCCCCATACAGGGCTATCTTCCGGCGTGGTCTCTAAGGCACACTGCAGCTACCCTCTGTGGGTGTGCTTTTGATGTCCCAGTATGAAGAAATTACAAATACAGTACTCGCGCGATTATAGTCATTTCTTGAACAGTGCCCTCTCTCGAATAGTGATCCTGTCTCTTAGAGCCAATGACAACAATAAAGCTGCGTGGACCCTGGCTAGGGCCAGCCGTTACCAGTTACTGAAGTAACGTCTTCTGCATAGGTACTGGAATCAAGTTCTATATTAATAGTGCCCCCCCCTACCGGTTTTGTAACCAAGCGCAAGTTTAAGTTCGGTGTTGTTTTGCTTATGGCCCTGTCCACTGTGGCTTCAGGATCGAAATGGTGACTTTTCTTGTCGTTTCTGCCGAGTCATTATAATTTACAGTGAACGTTAGGCTCCGTTCCCCTTTGCTCTCTTCGTTCTATGCTGGCTAAGGCAAATATACCACCATTGAAAGAATAGTGCCCTCTCCTGAATAGTGCTTCATCTGAGAAGGACATTGCAAAATACTAGTAGCCAAGGGGCACTAACAGCGCGAGTACAGAAGCTAGAATCTTAGAACAATGTTTTGGCTCACTCAAACAGTTGCATCAACACTTTGCTTCACATCGGACAGATTTCCGTAATTTTCAGAGAGAACAGGGATGCCTCCCAACCTCAAATTCTGAACTTTACGGTACCACCTTGCATTCGCTTGCAAGTTGAAGTTGCAACCCTGCTCCTATGATGTTTATATTCACGCACTATACACATTCGCTATCATGTAATTGGGATTGCTGCCTGTTTGATTCTGCGAATTAAAATTAAACAACAACATCTCCGTTTGGCCACTGCCTATCGAGAGGAGAAGGGTTTCAAACAACGTGTACGCCCTGTCTCACAGATCTACGAGTATCATATTTGCTGAATAACCTTATCCCTCCGATCTTCCGGCTAGCAAACACTGACACAGCCGAAGGTATAATGTAATCAATGTATACACAACCCTGACAATTGACCCACACATGCACGCACAAACTGATGGACAAAAACTGCCCCCTCCCCCCCCCCCCCACACGCACAAGCACTCATGGCAGGACTTCACAGCCCGTTATGCCAGGAATATGTGGAGCACGAGTTCTCGCTCGATCGGTGCCATGATGTACTTCTTTTGAAGTAATTTCGTTAAAAATGATTTAATAATCCACCGTAAGTGTTTATTTCACGAACATGATGGCAGCCTAACCCGTTATGTCTTCAACTATTGGATTCCAATATCGTACTTGGTCCAGAAGGGCACTGTAGTCCCTATTTTGTATATTGAGGTAGACGATGGCGCTGACATTGTCCTGTGTATGGAGATGGTTGACAGCGTAATTCACCAGTTGAGTTGCAAGCTGTGGGAAAAGAAACACACAATCTCATGGTAAGACTATTAGTCCACGAAAACAGGAATGGATACCTCTTTCAGGAGCAAACACAATACAATTGAATTCATGCCATCATGAAGGATTAGCACCCAACACAAAAAGGAAGGAAGCATTTGTACGAGAAAGCAATTATAAAAGTAGATGCGGTATCAAGTTTGGCCTCATTTTCTCTGTGCTGCGCTGATTAGTTAACAAAGGACGAACCAGTTCTGTCCGCAGATCGAGTATTTTGCTCCTGCTCTTGTAGCAATTGTGGGGCAGTGCCTGTGCTGTTTGTGTTACGCAGAGCTCGATGACTTGTCAGTTTGACCACTCTGGCATGGTACGTTGGGGCCTGGTTTAAATCTGGCTTTGGAAAATTTATTTTTCATCGCTATCAGGCTCGGCCTCATTTTGAAGTCCGAGTATGAAGCAAGTACAAGTACCGTATTCGTGCGATTATAGTCATTTCTTGAACAGTGCCCTCTCTCGAATAGTGATCTTGTCTCTGAGAGCCAATGAAAAAACAATGCCTTCTCTCGAATAGCGATCCTGTCTCTGAAAGCCAATGACAAAAGAAAGTTCTATTTTATTTGAAGCAATAGTTTCCCCTCCCCCGGTTTTGTAACCAAGCGCAAGTGCAAGTTCGGTGTTTTTTTGGTAATGTCCCTGTCCACTATGGTTTCAGTATCAAAATTGCCGTCCTTTTTGTCATTGCTGCCGAGTCGTGATAGCTTACGGTGAACTTTAGGCAAGAGCCAAAGGAGCCGACATGTTCAGGAAGAGCACAAAGGAGTCGGAAAGTTTGTTGCTAGACACCAGAGTACATGAATCCTGGCACGATCACAGGCATGCACCTAATGATATGCGGGCAGATATTGCGTTATCCAAAGAAATACTGCTGATATTGCTTTGTTTAGTGGACCGAAAAGGGAAAATGTTGGAAGGACACCAGGACTCAATCCAGCGACCTTCGCTTAATGCCATCTCTTCCGGACCACTAAGGTACGATAATTTCAATATCCAACCAAAGACCGTTTCCACATTTCCTTCAAAATTTGAAACTCGCGCTTACTATGATTTTACACGGGCTGGTGGGTGCTCTCGCTGGACCAGCACAATTCACGACCGAACTAGTTTGCAGAGAGCTCCTATGAATCAAATTACCTTAGGGGATGGGAAAGGAAACTAATTCTTGCTATGTGAAATGAGTGTACATTCTAGTTGTCACTTACTTCCTCTGGCGGGCATCCGATCCTCATCCTGTTTCGGACAAACTTCACTGCCTCTTCATTGGTGAATACGTCCCAAAGGCCTGTAATGAGAGATAGCAATGTCCCAACATGTATATGGAACACGAGGCGGAATAGGATTTGATTATGGTATGGTTGAAGCCTAATAGAACGAAGTGAACCTTTAAATGGATTATAATATTTTGAGTGTATTATGCTCCTTTGGATCATCGGCTTGGTTGAGCACCGATTAGCTTTAGCATCAATGTTATCGTTTTCTTACTGAGGTATAATGAGCCCATGAATGGGATCATTTCCACATCCACCCATGGTTTTGGTTTTGGTATTCCAGTGACTGTTGGCCGTTTGGAGGCCTAATAGCCTATTGAGTCATCATTCCAACATTCATGTCTTGTTGCTGGTTTGTGAGGTTGGCCAGAGAGCGCGATGGTGGAGGTGGAATTGCTTCATTTCTAATATTCCTCTTGCCTCTCCGTGGATAGCCACGTGACCACTTTTGGTAGTCAGCAAGTACCACTGTGTGTGTGTGTGTGTGTGCGTGTGTGTGCGTGCGTGCATACTCACGGACATGGATTTGCAATGCGTGTGCCATGTGTGTACCACTCGGCAGGTGTGTGTGTGTGTGCGTGCGCGCACACATATGTATGCGTGTACGAGTGAGCCAGTTGTTGTCTGATGTGCGTAATTACATGCCTAATCACCTTGATCAACCACACTATCTACAACCAGTTTCAGGAGATGCAGCAGTAGTAGTGGAGCGGTCAGGCGTTTGCAAGTACCATGCGACCATGCTTTCACATCACCATGCTATCATGCGACCATGCTATCACATCACCGTGCTATCACTTGACCAGGCTATCACGTCACCATGCTATCACGTGACCATTATATCACGTGACCATTCTATCACGTGACCATGCTATCATGTGACCACGGTAAAGCGTGAGCATGCCATCATGTTGCCATGCAATCGTATGACCATGATATCACGCGGCCAGCTAAGATTAAGAGTGCAGATAGCAAATGCCTAGTGGACGTTCACATGTACTTACTACCACATACTACCACATGATACCACATGATACCACATGATACCACATGGTGACTGCGGTGTGTTCGTCTGTGTGACTTGATGTGAAACCAATATGAGCCGTCAGATGCGAAAACAGACCTTATGGGAAAAAAATCATATTTGTGTTAGTGATACTATCTGAAAGCCAGGAGCATCAGGAGTCGTATGCAGAAAACTAGAGTTAATTTGGATCAAGGGAAGTAAAGTTATAGCCTCTACAATAGGAGACCGTTTCAAATTGCATCTCAATTTTGGGTGCAATACCAACAATTGTTTCACCTACTTTGTAGAATATTTCCTGTTTCCTTTGACCGATTTCCACAAACTTGGGCTTTCTGGAAAGCTCTGGCGACGAGCAACCCGTTCGGCCCAAATCCGATAGCAAATAAAGCACAGCACCAGCGCAACAAGCTGCAGACATCGCTTCAGCGCTGGACTTGCGCCATCACACGAAAATCGCTCGCCATTTCCATCTCCATTATCCCAGGACGCCCAATTTTTTTCGTGAAGATGCACTGAGAGCTTCCAAGACGTCTGAGCCTGTTGCCGAGATCGGAGGTCGCTTGAAAAGGGGGAAACCCCTGGTCTGGATCGTTTGATTTGCACGTAGAAATGCAAAGTGCCGTGACATATCTTGCAGGCTTCGCAGCTGGGGAACGCAGCATCGTGCCGCGATCGCGCTTGCTGCATTGGATTCCTTGATTTACATACTTGGATTGTCCCGAAAGACCGATATTTGACTGAAATACGAAGGTTTGTAGCTTGGTTGTCCAGGCGCACCAGTGCGTAAACTCGCCAACTTTCAAGTGCATTTTTCTGGACTGTGCAGTGTTTCCCATAAGGTCGGTTTTCGTATCTGACGGCTCATATGAAATAAAGGACATAGTGTTTCTTCCTTACCGTCACTTGCAAGAATGACGAATTCCAACTGTGTGGTTATTGCCAGTTTCATCATTTCTGGGGTGGCTGCAACAAGAAAACCAAATTGAAGAAACTCGTTGATCAGCTTTATATCATGTACACTCTTTGTTTTGTACAAACACCATAATTTTTAAATGTAATTCTTCGAGCAAGGTACCCTTTGATCTCGCGCACACACACACACACACACACACACACACACACACACACACACACACACACACACATGCACAAGACACATGCACATGCACAAATCTAGTCACCTGTTCATTGACACAGACACAGACATACATACAAGCAGAAGCACATGTGCAAGCACACGCACACACACTCGCATACATACACACAGACATACACACATTCAGACAGGTACAGACAGACACGCACACACACATACACATAAACACACAAATGTGGATAATGTAGCTATGTTTCGAACTCATCGGCTAAGTTGCTGATAAGTGCCCTGGATAAACAACAACGCAAACTTCAGGCTCTTTCCAATCAATTTCAATTTTGTAATTTTCATTCTCCTTTCTTAGCTTAGTTTTCACCTGAAGAGAAGGCGGTGAATGGTCTCGTGGAAATGGAAAAAAATTGTTGATTATAATTGATTTGAGGGAACGATGGATACAGATTTGAAGTACAAAATTGGCTACCACTTTGGGCGCGTTTGGTGGGGGAGACCTAGAACAGGATTCACCAGAACAGCGCGTTTGGTTGGGCCTGCAATTGTTCTGGGTCGGCCAGAACACGTTCTGCTTGCTCCAGCCTTGAGGCCGGAGCAGATTGAGCAGTTTCACTATTTCACAGTGAAATCTGGCGGGAACATCGGTTTTGTGCATACGCTTTAGGGTTGCGCACGCTGTACAAAATGACCAGGGTGACCCATACACGTTTTGAAGAATGCACCAAGTTTGGGACACTTTTCACAAAAATGTGCTCTGTTTCTGGAGTACCGTTTACTTGGCACGAGGCTGCTCCATGTGCACTAGCTGTTCGATCTTGTTCTAGATCATACCAACCAAACGCACCGTAGGACTCGAGCCTCGTGCGAACCGTGATTTTTGTGAGGACTCGAACCAAGGACCTTCGCTTGAGACAAGTTGATTGGATTGGCAAGAGCTTGGAGCTTGTGTTGGTAAGAATTATCAGTTTGAGAAGCATCTGATTCTACGAATCGCAATGAAAAGTACAAAATTACGAAGTCATTATGAACACACATATGCATGTACACACGTAGTATACACACATCAGCAAAAGAACGGTTTAGTACGTTCTCGCGTGATGGTACCATGGTCTTCAGTCAGGTTCCATCACTGAATGGCAAAGCAAAGATGATCAAGGTATCAAACAAGTGCGAGTGAGAAAGATGTCGACTTTTCATAAGTATCCGACGGGTACATTTGGGCACCGTGTAAGAATTCGGTCTGTTAGGAATGCCCAAGTAAAATAATACAATACAAATACAATAATGAAAAACCTTACACACTCCATCTTCAAATCACGTGGTCTCTTTGCTGCAAATTACAATATCTCAATCAAATTGTCGGCCAGGAGCCATCATCAGGATATATTGACGAGTATAACAAATAAAACAATATGTTCTCACCTTGCGAAATCCAATTTTCTCTGGCACCCTTCTTGAACACGCCATCACCGAAGCCTCCCGATACATTCAGCAGCACTTTCTCCTCGTAGTCGACCAGGTACTTGACTCTACGATGTGAGTACTTTCTAGTGATAATCCTGCCGCCTTGGGAGAGGATACGCGCGTTCTCTTCTGCATGGACAAAATTGAACATAGAAAATGGCATTATCGTGGTGGTTATCACATCATTGCCCTGCCGTGGGCATTAGGTCATTGCTCTGCCGTGAGCAATACGTAATATTGGTAACTCCGTCTCGTCTACAGTTATCAATATGAGCTCCCAGTTCAAAAACAAAAAAAAGATAAAAATTATTGATGTCTATATTCATACAGGATATTGGCGGAAAAATGCACCAAATTGACAATGTTGTGCTTCTTCACAATATCACCATGCACTGGTTTGAGAAGTAATGTTACGGAAGGCCCGATCAGATTTTAAACTAACTTCGTATCTTCGTGTTCTATGTTTACCTCTGACTAAGTCTCTATATAAAAATTAGTGGTATGTTTCGAGCAGGAGCGACATTGTACTTAGAATGAGATTTGGAAATTTGTAGGAGCACTACTACGTAGAATGGAAATAATCAATGGTTTGACTTTATCCCCATATACACACAGACATAATATGTATGTGGACACGCATGCACACACAAAACACAGAAATGCATACATGAGACCACCTTTTCTTGTATTTCATGATCACTTTATCATTTGCCGATTTACTGTACTGAGCTGGCTTTGGATTCCCTTTTTGATGATGGATAATACTACGAAGTAGTACACAATTACTGAATACAGCGTGTGTTCGCATGCCATTACTTGTGTGTGTATTTGTGTGTGTGTGTGTGTGTGTGTGTGTGTGTGTGCGTGTTTGTATGTGTGTGTGTTTGTGTGTGTGTGCGTGTGTGTGTGTGTATGTGTGTGTGTGTGTGTGTGTGTGTGTGGCAGGCCCGGCGGATACGGTTCGGCTGGTCAGGCCATGGCATGACTAACGTATTGGCCATCAACTTGTGTTTACTGCTGACGAGGGCATGTGCTCATGGTGTTCCCAACATATCATACACAAAGTACGGGTGAGCTATGGCCAAACCAATCGAACATTGCACCCGCCGGTCCTGTATCTACGTCATGTATTCAACTCGTACCTGGATCGGATGGCTTCATGTCCTTGGACAGTGCAACAGCATAGCCGCCTATAGATGACACAGCTCGGCTGTCACCAGCATTGGCCACGTAAAGAAAGTTATCTCTGCGAGCTAGCCCTATAACTGTGCTTCCGGATCTCATCCATGCTTCTGCATTGCGGACAGAAGAGTGAAAGCAAGAACAGCGCAATGGACCGTGTTAAATTTTCATCGCACTAATACATATACAGCATTACAGCAGGTACTTGTAGCTTTCATTGCGCACAAAGCTCTTGATTCGACGACTTCCGCTGCTCACCCAGTGCTCAGCACAAAAACGTCTGCCGCCGACACAGCGTTCAATAAAAAAATGTTTGGGCCCGCGAAGTGCTCAATGCAAGGACTCCTGCTGCTCTTACAATACTCGGAATCGAAAACCACGATCGTCGTAAATTGGAAATATCATCACTGTTCTATAATCCTCCAGTGAACATAATCACCTACCGGGGTGTTCAAACTTGATGACGTCGTCTGTCCGGTGAAACACTTTAGGGAGGACAGTACACAGGTCAATGTCCAAAACTGTGCAGCACACAAAACGCAATAATATAACGTTGCTGAGATAAAACGAAAACATACACATTGTGTCGTCGAGTTCTCATCCACATTTTAGTTGATCAAGGGCGAACTCCCTCCCCTTCTCTCTCTCTCTCTCACTCTCACTCTCACTCTCACACTCTCACACTCTCTCTCTCTCTCACACACTCTCTCTCTCTGTCTCTCTCTCTCTGTCTCTCACACTCTCTCTCTCTGTCTCTCTCTCTCTCTCTGTCTCTCTCTCTCTCTGTCTCTCTCTCTCTCTGTCTCTCTCTCTCTCTGTCTCTCTGTCTCTCTGTCTCTCTGTCTCTCTGTCTCTCTGTCTATCTCTCTCTATCTCTCTCTATCTCTCTCTATCTCTCTCTATCTCTCTCTCTCTCTCTCTCTCTCTCTCTCTCCCTCTCTCTCCCTCTCTCTCCCTCTATCTCTGTCCCTCTGAAAGTAAATACAATTCTGTACAGTAGAATGTTAAACAGCAGACTATCACTTACACTGTAGATAGGTGTCCATAACATCCGGCAAATGTTTAACCGCAGCCTTGGAGACCGTTCCGCCGCCATGCCCATCACACACAGCAAAGAAGTCAACACAAAAGTGTTCTCCAGTGGTTGCATGCTGACACTCTGGTGATATGTCGTGTACGGCCAGAATTTCATCCTCCATGTCTACAAAAGCGGTTGACAGAAAAGAACAAAACCGTTAGGGTCAAGATTTCAATCAGACATGCAAGTGTGTTCGGAAGGGAAAAGTACGTTTTAGGATCCGAATACCAGGTCCCCCGGCATAACCAACCCTTGCAGCTCCTCAATCACGGAGCATCGGTCATGCTTTGCCGGTTCAGGAGTCCGACAGTCACGCGTGTGAAGAATGAACTACTGTTAGTTGACACTCGACACGGTTACAAAATGCTTTCTCAAATCTAAAATTCATGTGCCTGAGGTAAAACGGCAACTGGGAAATGTTTGAAGAAGAAAAGTGACTGTTACAAGCTGAACTCGAACCAGTGGCCCTCCATTCTGGGCAACGATGCTCCACCGCGAAGTTGTAGTGTAGTCACCCGAGCACGGACCGCTCATGATTCTCTTCTTACTTTGAAGCGCACGATTCCTGTGAATCCACTCAGGCCGCCGGGACGCAACCCTCGCTGCCACCCACACACCTCACGTACAAACTAGCATAATAATGATACCTGTATTGCTCACTCCATCCTGTTATATAGTTTTACAATTGCCTCGTCACGAAATTCCATTGATAAGGAGCCAAGAAAATGTTCTGAAGTACGGCGCTCGTTGATCGGGATAGGATATCGAACATTTCTTTCGGTATTGCATTGGTAAAATAATAATTATATATAAATGAAAACACTCAGAGCAGAATGGTTATAGTAACCATGGAGAAAATGAAGGCCCCAGACATGAAGTCACTTGTTCGAAATGTAGGTGCGTTTTCTTATCAGCCCCGATGTGTTGCTGCACTCCAACTGATTTCTTGTTTACTTTAGATACTGTGATTGGTTATCTTCAGGTCCGGAACTTCCACTGGCTGCGTTCGATTAGGCACTTGAATCGATTCATGAATCCGTTCGTATGCATTCAAGTCGTTCGATTTTCACGTCATGAGCACTGGAATCGATTCGGAATACATTCACCCTATTAACATGGGGCGATGTGAAGAGCAAATAAAGAAGAAGTATTCTACACGGATCTATGCAGTACTTACGTGGTCGTACTCCCTGATGTCTGCAAGTGGACGCAATGAAGTTCTGATCGCTTAGGCAGCCGGATTCTACAAATACCTCCTCAGTCTTCTGCAAGGGAAAAAGGGCCGAGGAAAGGAAAAAAACGCAGCCATCACTTGTAAGGCTTTCTGCTGCGAACACAGCATAATGCGCGTGCATGCGTGCTCAGAATTAGTGCACTACGCAAATTCAAGGTAGATTTTACTTGTCCAGACCGCGACCTGCATCACGGTATCTATCGGGGATGGGCTTACTAGAATAAACACTCTGCGAGGCTGGATAGATCAGCATGCCGTCTCACAGAATTTCCTGTTCTGTCTCCAGTCTTGATACTATGAAGTTGAATATACTGTAATAGGGTAGTTTGACCACCACTGCCACAGAAATAGCATGTTGAAGCGTATCCTCACACGCACGTCGCGGGGTACATTTTGGTGCTGTAGCCAGATTTCTTCCAACACAGGACATCAATAGTCTCTAGAAGAGTCTCTAGAAACAGGAAAGGCACTACTCCACACAAGAGCGCTCAACTGCTACAAGAGCAGGAGGGAAATACTAGTAGGTTCTGTATGTACTTACCCATCCAACGGCTCTGATGTTTCCCTGAGCCATTCTGCAATGCACATGGCAAAAAAAGATAGATAGAGAGATAGATAGAGAGAGAGAGATACAAAGAAAAATAAATTACGCAACAGCAACGAGCATGGCAAGCTATGAATGCAGGATCTTCGTACTATACCAGAGAATAGATTCACATTCACGTTTGACTCAAGGATGCGCAACAGAATGCTGTTTTTTTTTTAATTTCGGCCAGTCGGCTACTATCATTTCGTCTTGGGGGTCAATGCAGTTTCGATATGCTCATAGGCGGTGGCGCACATACTAGGATTGCCGTTCTAAAGGCCATGAGAGAATCTCGACTGTATGCAGGTTGGGCAGGTAGCTGTGTTCACCATGTGCAGTCAATGAATCCATGACTCGGCTAGGGAAGTGGCGGTAGATTCATTCCACACGATTATTTACCTTAGTCGTAGCGTTGTTCGAAAATATTACTGAAACTCTTGTCACTGTTCTCACGATGAAGGCGTTCCACAAAAGCCTGAACTGGCCTCAATGCGACTTTATGGCTCGCCCCTGAAGGCTTCAATTCTGATTGCCCTAACCACGTATGGTGATGGGTACGCAAAAGCGAACTTACCAACATGAGTACCGCCCCTGTCATACGAAAACATAAATGTACAGCTCACTTCGCCATACAGACAGGATATGTCCCGTAGTGTCGTATTAGCGGCATAGAAAACGCGAAGCTTGCAATTTGTAATTTATTCATTTCTGTATTCCCCAGAGCGTGAAAGGTCTGTTGCGGGGGGGGGGGGGGTGGGTGGGAGGGAGGGGGGGGGGGAGGGCAGGGGTCTCCATACCAGAATCAAACAAAAGCCCGGAAACTGATGTTACCCATCGCCACATGGAAGAAAATCCATACCAGAATCAAACAAAAGCGCGGCAACTGATGTTACCCATCGCCACATGGAAGAAAAACTGTGCTGTAATTATTCCGTATTATTGATTCCTCGAGGAAGGTGTAGCACCATGACTGTACGTGTCATTTGTGGCACTACCCTATCACATTACACTAGTTTATTTCGCTGTTCAGTTAAAGTCACTGACAGAGGGAACGAGGGAATCTGTTCTGGAAGATACGACTATATTAATTTTATGCATTAACAATAATCCTGAAACGTGTCAAGATCCGTTGTATTATCTGCGAAATTCATTTGTTTTATACCCAGAATGTAGCTCTTAACATGTTCAAGATGCTTAATCTGATTATTATAATTTGCCGGATATCCGGACAGTTTGCTGATTTGCTTTGCCTTTGCTTGACCTTTCAGCGGAGCTCAAAGCTAGGGTCCAACCTTAACGCAATGGAGTTTAATGAACAAAAAAAGCATTTTTTTCGTTAAAGCCTCAAATTAATTGTGCCCTTGCTGCCATATACATGGTTAGCCTTGCACGAGGGCAGAGAACGTCGACGTAACTTGAAACAGTGCCCAACCAAGCCGACGTGAGCGATCATAATGCTCTGCGCAATTCTTTGCGAATTCAAGGATTCCCAAAGGCCTTTCTCATAGACAGTTGTCTTTTTTCATATAATATTATGTATTTCGCAACGAATCGTACTGTATTTGACGACTCCCTTATATGTTCATTATCTTGAATGATGAAAATAAAGATTACGGTAATACCTGTAGAAGCTGAAGGCTTAACATTTCAGGGTGACGGATATCCCTTTCCCGATGTTGCAACCTTTCAGTGTTTTTGTAAGAATTCGCAACTTTCGGAACTTCTTTTGTTGTCGCGAACTATTTCGCACAGTTTCCGCAACCCTAGCACAGTAGCTTTAATAATATTATGTCTAAAGGTCAAGTCACAGACTACACACGTGGAACTATTTCCTGACCGCTCTAGTTGCGATACATGCCTTCCCTCTTGCTAGCCCTGAAATGACTGGGGATACACGTAATATGTTAGTTGCATTGCACAAATATATCTCTCCAGGATGGTCTGAATGTGTGATTAATGTCATTTTTGAGAGTGTGTTCTGACCGGGAAATTCTGCAATGGACACGTGTCACCCTTGTCGAGTACCGGGTAAAGGCCGAGGCCTCACCAATCAAGCAAGGCACACCAATCAAGCCGATGTCGCATTTTGTCCATGTAACCGCCTTTGTTATTCATACTTTGGCCTATTTAATATTGGCATGTTCTGCAGATTTCTAGGCATTCTTGGCAACTTTAATAATATCGTGCATATTTTATTGTAGGGGCGTGACTGCTACTCTATGTACTGCAATTGGTACATTACTTAATTAATAACAGCCGTCTGGCATGGTACAATAACCTTTCTTCTTTTTCTTTTTCTAACGAGAGAGCTTGGAAGCTCAGGGCCCTACACTATGCTTTTTTGCCTTGATCACCAAGAAAAAAAAAGCATACGGATGATATATAAAATTCATATAAATGTTTCCTTTTTTTTAAGAAATAACCTGGGATTCGAACCCGCACTATCGCGTTGCATGCATCCCCCGATACATTTCGCATACATACTAATACTTCCAAGTTGCTTCACGTTATGATCTTGCACTTGAAAGCCCTATTGCATTGTGGCCAGCCGTCTTTGATGGCACGGTACGGTACGGGACAGGTACGGGACATGTACGGGACATGTACGGGACAGGTACGGTCGAGGGTAATCCGACACCGTCTACTGCCTTGATGACCTAGGCAAAATAAGCATAGGGATGTTATACATTTTTCAATTCTCCTATTTTTTTGGCATTACAGGTACCTGGGATTCGAACCCGCACTATCGCCCTACATGCATTCCCCCATACACTTCGCATTCATACTCATTAGAGAGGTTCCGGGGTACGATTTTTCGTGCCAAAATCCGTATGGGTGCTACGGATTTTTTCCAGGCGTGCTCCATACGATTTTTCGGCACGAGAATCCGTGTGGACTGGCTTTCATACGAACCATGCTTCGTATGGAGATTTTGCGTCATCGGGTGCAGAAAGATTTTTCGCGTACAAATTTGGTACGAGAAACATCGATTTGGTATGGTATGGTATGGTATGGTATTGATTTATTTGAATTCGGTATCTCAACAGTACATTGTACAACTTGGGAAGATCCGAATGACATAGATACATAAACATAAAAGTGGAGTAGGTGCTACAGCGGATCATTTAATCGCAGGTTGTGGGACTAAACTAATACCAGTATGCAAGTACACAAGAAATAAAAGCTGAATAAATACGACTGCATGACATTGGAGAAAAGCACCAATTAGAGCAAAACAAAGCGACACATCACTCATCGAAAACATTTTCAAAAAGGAGCTGTTTTAACCGGGTACATTGTGGCCCGTCATTAAGAAGGCAGGCAAGATGGGCGTTAAATGCAGAAGACGTATTGCAAGACTTCATTTCGAAGGGCAGCGATTTTTCGCTGGAAGTTTTGATTTCGGTACAAATTTTCAAAATAAAAAGGCATAGCATAGCCTGGACATAGCGCGGGAATGTGACGTGTTTGTGATCGTAACCTACGTAGGCAATGACGGCAAACACATAAGTTCCGTACCCCGGAACTTTTCACTGCTCGAAAACGACGTATAAAAAATCCGTAGAGCCTCCACGGATTTTGGCACGAAAAATCGTACTCCGGAACCTCCCTATTCTTCCAAGTTGCTTCACATTATGATCTTGCGTTTGAAAGCCCTATTTGAATATTGCGGCCCAGGGAGCCCTGTATGTGTAGGGCTCCCTGTTGCGGCCAGCTGTATGTGGCCAGCTGTGTTTGATGGTACGGTACGGTACGGGACAGATACGGGATAGCGCCAGGCGTGATACAAACAGACAAACACCAAATTAGAGCTGTGTGGACCCTGGCTAGCGCCAGACGTTACTGAAGTAACGTCTTCTGCATAGCTACGGGAATTAATGGCTTTTACCTCGAATGGTTTACTATCTGTATCACAATTATTTGTGGCTTCAGCAATAAAGGATGCGACGAGATCAAGCCGTTTCCAGCTTGCGCTGAAAGTGGCTTGCGCTGAATGAAGCAGTTGGTCACATCGATCAATGAGAACCGCTGAATTGTTTTGCGTGCTGCGTGGGTCTTGTCGCGTTCATTTGATTTGTGTTGAGTTTAATTTTCTGTTGAAAAGGTACGTTGCAATCAGCAGAGTTTTAGCATTTTACTGCGACAGTGGAAGTGGAAGAGGAGCTTCAATGCTGCATTGGAATCAGGGTGCCCGTTTGAAAGATTGAGGGAGGTTTGAGCTTGTAGTGCAGCTATGGATCCTAAAACTAGACTCCGTACCGTTGCCTGCCTGCATTTGGCTCTGGACTGATATCATGGTGCACATGCTTCTATCGCATAATACTGGTGGTCTCCCTTGTCTGACACTGCCGAGCCTAATCGTACCTCGTAGAAGGCTCACAAGGAAAGAAGAAGACAATAATAGACTGCAGGCAATGAGAAAAGTTGGACCAACAACTTAACAAACAAGGAAAACGGGAATGTATTTCAGAACACGATGCATCGATGGCAAGATGCTCTTCGGATTTGCACGAATTTGTTTTTCCCGTCGCTGCGCCCGAATGGTTGAAAGTGGCTAAATCCATTCAGCGCTGTGTTCAGCACTTTGAAAACGGCTGACTGCTGAGAACGGCTGAAGCCGCAAAATAAGCCGTTTCCGTAGCAACCATGACGTCAAAAAGCGCTTTTCCCGCTGAATTGCGCTTGGTGTGGCCGCTACCTAAACATTAGACCTTTCCTTCACGTGGAATTTCTCTGGCTCATTGAAATCGGGATCATGAAATTCTACATTTCAACCGTTTAGGATATTCACTCCATATGCGTCGCAATGTTATTACTCGAGGGTTTTCTTCAATAATTAGGGCACCTCAACTTTCCAAATACCGTCTCTGAGCTGCATACGTCAACTCAAAACAAATAAATTATTGAACTCATCGAAATTAATATTTGGGCATGGCACGGCCTGAGGGTGAACACGTTCAACAAGGTTTTTCTTTGGTCTATTAAGTACTAGTAACTGGTGTTGTTACTTTAATCGAGTTAAAAGGTAAATTGGAACTAAATTAACTATATTCAGCATTGAGAAGAAGTAGCGACGACCCGGCCATTATGGAATCCAATACACCACACCACCACATTGCGCTCTTGGCCGATCCAAACTCTGCACTCACATCACCCTGACGACGCGAAGACAATTCCGGTATATAGATTGATATTGACAATGGGTCATTGTCACTATCAATCTATATACCGGAATTGTCCTCGCTGTGGTGATGGTGATGTAAGTGCAGAGTTTGGATCGGCCAAGAGCGCAATGTGGTGGTGTGGTGGATTATATCCAACATCCCTTTTGTTTTAGGAGCTCAGGTTGCTTCAATATCTTTAGGCAAGTGATGATAATAGTAGCATGCCATTTTGAGCCAATTGAAGCGCATATTGGTTTGTGCCTGCATGTCCATTGCGCGTTGTGTAACACAAACCCCTTACATGAACACAGTCACCAATTAACTGGAAGCTGGAACTTATTTTTCTTTGAATGAAGAGAGTTATGTCAGACTGTTGTGGATTTCAAGTCAACGGTCAAATCTCGAATCAGGCGGCGTGCAGCTACTTGCTGAGCCTTCGGTATAGCATCATTGAAATGTGTGGAGACATTCCTGGCGGTTAGCTGTTCCGCCGATCCCAACATGCACCCATAGCGCAGTGCAGAGTGTAGTGCTTCCGGTATTGGATGCCCACCTTCTGGCGGATGGGTTAGAGTCCAGGAATGCAACTCGATTATCTGTTCTCGCCGACCTGGCCTCTCGCATATATCATCGTTCCAGCTACTAGACACAGTTGCGTCGCCTCTCTTGAGCCTGGTGCTGCAGACGTATTTTGGGCGAAACGCAATGATATGATCTGCGTCGCTCAATAATTCAGATTCTGTGGCTTGATTTCTGAAGTGCAGAACGCCTTGGGCCAGTGTGGTAAGATATTCCACACTCCCCGCCATCCACACCGGTAGGACGCAAGCCCGAGTCACCGACCACAGATCTCCGCGTTTCAACAATCCTGAACCATCTTCTCCACGGCACCTCACAGGGGGGCAGCGGATGGCGGCACCGAAGTCCACGATCTTAACATGACCGCTGAAGCCATGAACTAACACGTTACGCCTGTTCAGATCGCGATGAATTATACCGATATGATGTAGGAACGCGACACCTGAGTAAAGCTGGCGACTGATTTCCGAGCACACTTCAGATGTAACGCGGTTCCCCAATTCTTCCATCCAGCTCTTGACATCCATGTCGCATTTCTGCAGCACAAGATGGTGGCCGTAGTGGGGTCGATCCATATCAATAGCAACATCAAGCAGCCCAATTACGTTCGGGTGGCCACCGTGGCGTCGAATTCGCTTCAGCATTTCGCGCTCATAAGTCAGGTAGATCATGGTGTCAGAATTCAGGGACGATTTCAGGGCGACTGAAACGTTCTTGTCAGGCGTCATGGCATGCGTGACCTTTCCGAAGCCGCCCTGTCCAAGAAACGAATTAGGTGCCTCTACATATACATTGCCTCCGCCGTGAATACTCAGGAACATCCTGCTCAATGCATACTTCATTGACACTTTGCGCTGTTTCCTCGGCCTCTTCTTAGAGAACGGAAAACGAAAGCGATGCCTATCGGCCATCGTGGACTTGCGCTCGCCCTTTGAAAATAATTGAAAAATTGAAAAGTGTCTGCAAAGAAACTCATCCGCTCAAATCGCCGACTCTCGTTCAAGGCATGACAAAGTTAACAGTAAAATTTCAAGTATATAAAATCAGCACTCTGAATACAACTTGAGAGGAAAAGCTTTGTGTTGTGAGATTGTCCGTAAGTAAAATACACATTGATCGTACGCAGATTATAGGTAGTTCGCACAATGCCTTGATACGAAGCATAGATACAGCGAATAAATTCTTTGCTCTCATTGTGCTGTTCAATAACGACTCAAGGTCTCGTGCACAGTGTAAACGTTTTGGTGACTGCTGAAACCACAAGACAGTGTTTTGTGGTTAACGTCTATTTCAACACCAAGACATGAACGTCACAGCCAAGGAACCAGAAAAGGCATCCGGATTGATCGGCGACGCTGCACGCCCTCCCAAATTCACAAAAAATCCAGCTAGCAACACACAATCGCTGAGCTTTACACAGCCCACTGATTTTTTTACATTCTCCCTGGCTACATTCAGTTGTTGTGCAGTAGATTGAGGATATAATGCTCGGCAGTGAAAATGGCTGCCGTTGCCTCCCCACAATTATTGTTACAAAATACTACTACGAATACATTATCTTTTACACCGGGACATAGTTTAGCAGCGCAAGTAAATTGGGCATAAACGATGCGCTATTTTGGCACTATCGGCGGACCTAGAATCAGCAGGACTGAGGAGTCTGAGTAACGTGGCAGACCTTGAGCACCTGCACGCCATCGCCGCGGACAGGCCTGCGTGGCGCGAGCTGTTGTTGTTGATTTTTATTTTGCTTCGCAAGGCCAAACGGGCAATGGTGCCCAATTCTATGGAAGCGAATTTCAAAAGGGAGAGAGCTACGGGGAGAGAGAGAGAGAGAAAGAGAGAGAGAGAGAGAGAGAGAGAGGGGGGGAGGGAGGGAGGGAGATGATAAGCAATTTTGTAGCGTCAACAGAGCGATTTTGCAGTGTCAATAGAGCTATTTTGAAGCATCAACAGAGGGAACACAAAGAGTTCATAACTTGAGCGCACAAGCACGCAGAGAAGAGTAAATGACGTGGTGTGTGGACGGGAAAAGTCAGACAGAGCATTCATTGCAAGGTGTAGGGGATGGAGGCAAGCTTAAATTGCTGGGCAGCCTTGATCTCCCTTACACTCCTTGGGAGAGTGTTCCAGGCCAAGGCTGCCTGAAAGGCCAGGCGAGATCTGCCGGCTTCTGACTGTGCCGAGGGGACAGTGAGGCCCCTGGAAACCTGGTGCCGGGTGGTGCTGCCAGCTGATGGTGAGAATAGGTCCTGGAGGACACTGCTGGCTTTCCCATTGACACAGCGCCACACCAGGACGAGCCGCTTCTGGGCGTAGCACTCCCGAACTCTGTACAGGGACATCCGTTCGAGCAGAGGCGGAGCCGAGGTGTGAGGCGGCAAACCGTATACCGCTCTCGCCGCTCGGTTCTGCAGGACCTGAAGGCGATCAAGCTGCGAAACCTTGAGGGAGGAAGAGAAGGCGTTAGACCCATATAGGAGGTCAGGCATGATGACTGACCTCACATACTGGATGCGACTACTGAGGCTCAGACATCTGCGGGACCGCCACAATGCTCCAATCTTCTGCACAACTTTCTTCGCCATCGCGTCAACATGGGGGTCCCACTTCACAGCGGCGTCAAGGGTCACGCCGAGGTACCTTGCTGTTGGGCTCAAGGGAAGCTCTGTCTGGTTGCAGCGGACAGCGACATGCTGACCCGCATTGCGTTGTGGTACAATTGACAGGACCTGGCTCTTCTTGTCATTTAGTAGCAGATGTCGATGCTTGAGCCAGTCAGCGACGTTGGTGACGGCCCCTGACAGGCAGGCTGATGTGGCTAGCACTGATTTTCTGTGGCAGTGCACTGCAATGTCATCGGCAAATTGCAGAGATGGAGCAGGATGGGCTATGGCAGGGACATCACGGGTGTACATGCTAAACAGGATCGGTCCTAGGACCGAGCCCTGTGGTACACCAGATGAGCACTTAGCAGCAACACTGTAGGTGGGGTCAATGCGCACTTGCTGGGTTCGATCGCTTAAGTAGCTGCAGAACCAGCGAAGGGAGGCATTGTCCAGGCCGAGATCGAATAGGTCCCGGACCAGTTGGCTGCGATTGACCTTGTCAAAGGCTTTTGACATGTCGATTAGGCAGACGCCTGTGGTCAACTTGTCGTCCCGGGCCTTTAAGATGGCATCTGTTGCTACAACTAGGGCGTCCTCTGTGGAGTGCTCACGGCGGAAGGCAAACTGAGTCGGTGGTATGGCACATGATCGCTCCAGATGTGCAACAAGTTGCTTCTGGACTATCTTCTCGAGTAGTTTGGATACGATCGGCAGGAGCGACACAGGACGATAATTTGCAGCTACCGAGGGATCGCCAGCTTTGAAGAGAGGGCTTATTACAGCATGTTTGAAAGCCAGAGGGACTTCACCATGCCTCAGCGATGAGCTGAAGAGCACTGAAAGCGATGGAGCCAACAGGTCAGCGCAAGCACGTAGCAGACACCCAGGAATCCCATCACTGCCTGTGGCTTTGCAGGGATTTATCCGTTCCAGGAGGTGCTTGACCTCATCTGGGGTGGTTGACTGGAAGGTCAGCATTGAGCTGTGCCATTATGTGCGCAGTAAATAACGGATGGGACAGAGGCATTGTACAGATCACGTGCATTTAGCACTTACCATCGAACATCAGTTATAAACCTATTGCCGTTGTCTGTTATTCTTGTTTTATTTTTTGATCTTTCGAAAAGATCCCGTGCATTGAGCACCTATCATCGAACATGAGTTATGTACCTATCGCCTGCTGTCTTACATTTTATCTTTTACATTATTTATTTTCCTCTCTTCCCACTCTGCCTGTCTTCTGGCACATGCGAATACGTGGACTTACTGTTGACGTAGACGCGGACGTGCGTATAATAATTTATTAATAAGAATATTTAGGCATTCAGCTTGGACTGTATTGGCTATGAACCACGTTTGTAAACAGTAGGGAAGAAAGATAATAATTATACGTTTGGCGAGAATTAAGTTCTGCAGAAGCACTACATGTGAGGTAAAACTGGAACAACAGCGTGACATTTTTTTCTAGCTGTCCACCAAAGTAATTATAGAATAAAGTCAGAGAATGCGACAAAAAGGCACAAGCTGACAAGGAGTACTGACTGTATATCGGCGACTATGCAATCTGCGGACAGAGCTGTTTCGTGCTTTGTGGACTCATCGGCGCAGCACAGAGAAAATGACGCCGAACCTGATAGCAATGAAGCATACATTTTCCAAAGCCAGATCTAAACCAGTCGATATGTAGACCTAGATATCGAGCAGTTGTGGTCTGAGCTAAGGGATTTCCATTGCATTCAATGGTTTATGTGACAAGTGCAGGACTCACGTAGGGCCAGAATGCGAGTTGTGGATGGATTTAGTTTCAAGCCTATTTCTTGCAGAAGATTGGCGAGGTTGGAGACCGAACGGGAAAGTGTTAAATTCAATAAGTCAACAGATTGACTACTGGCATCTAGCAGGATATCATCAGCAAACATCGAGTAGGCTGGAGCTGTGATCTGTTCTATTTCCATGGTGTAGATGGAGAACAAAAGAGGACGCAGCACACTTCCCTGAGGACAACACCCTAACAGGGAGAGAACGCTGACGACAGGCCATTGCTCAGGACGACTCGCTGACGGCGGTCCGTTGGGTAGCTCATGAACGAATTGTGCGCCGTTTAGATAATGCAAAGCGGAAATAGATCTGTAACCAACATGTAGTGCTTGACCTTACCGGAGGCCTTACTCATGTCGACACGTACACCGGTATGTAATGGTGCAGCTCATCCGCTACCTCCAAATATTTGTCTACAGCCAATGTCATCTTCTGAGGAGTTAAGTGGGCGATATGCGAACTGGTTTACGGAGAGCAGGGAATGGACGGAGAGGAACTTACAGTCTTATATGGACTATACGTTCAAGGACTTTGGAGACTATTGGTTATAACGATATGGGGTTATACTTCTTAGCCACAGATTTGTCGCCCGACTTGAAGAGGGGACAAATTTTCGCAATCTTTAGGGATGAAGGAACAACACCAGAAGCTAGAGGTGCATTGATTAGTATCGTGAGGGACGGTGCAAGAACCGGACTAAAGTGTTGGAAGATAGCAGGTAGAACCTGGTCGCTGCCTGCGCATTGCGCTTGTCAATGTTAGAGAACAGCTTAGCGATCTCCTCCGCACCTGCTAGATCAAATTCTTCAAAATGGTCCTTCCTCGTACGACCTAATGGGACTAAGAGATGTGAAGGTCTTGTTCGGATTGACACAACACCGCAGAATCGGTTATTGAGCATTGAAACACTGCCGGCTGGTGGAACAATCGCCGAGATAGTTAGTGGTTTGCCAGGTGTTTCGTGTGTGTGCCTGACTAGTATTTTGGGGGTAGGACCTTGGGGCGGCGCAGACGGATAGGAGCATGAGTGTTCAAGACAGCGACAAATTTCTTCTGCCCGCGAAAAGCAGAAATTTACCTATTGGGAAAGACTTGATGGAGCGCTTCATAAAGCAGCATTGTTGACACCATCTATGACTGTGCTTGGAGACTTCAATGTCGATGTCGGAGCCGGCACAACATCCCCGCACTATCAGCGCTTCTCAGATTTGGTAGCATCTTATGGCCTCAGAAACCTGGTCACAACTGCCACTAGGACCACACCCCAGTGCCCCAATGGCAAGATCATCGATTTGATCCTCACAAGTTGCGATGATGCCCGGAGTTGCGCCGTAGTGCCGTCTACCCTCAGCGACCATGATGCCGTTCAGGTCCTCTTGGGCCTGCACGTTCAAGTGCCCAGACAAGCATGTAACTCGAGGAAGCCATTCCGCAACGTACGTAGAATCCACATACCTGATTTCCGAGACGACCTTGATGCAGCA